CCGCTGGCGGCTCGTTCCTCTTTGAAGTGTATGACAAGTTAATGGGGAGGGCTTAAGCGCTTTAAGTGCATGCTGGTGGCATCGGGAGTAGCGAAAAAGCCGGTGAATGAGGCACTGCCATCGATATTCATTATATGCATTGGTTCCTTGTCAGTGAAGGAACAGAATGTGCGTTAAAGGATTAACGAAGGAAAAAAAAAAAAGAAGAACAGGGGGGGGGGAGAGACTGTACCACTCCGGGACAGTCACCACACAGTTGAGGCGCACTGGGAAGATATGCGCGCATGTAGGAAAAAGTTAACGAAACCACCTAGCTGTCAGCTCCTTGTCAGTTAAGGAACAGAATGTGCGTTGAAGCTTGACGAAGAAAAAAAAGGGAAAAAAAGAAGAAAAAAAAAAAGGGGGGGGGGACCGTACGACCTCCGGGACCACTTATCTGTGCGTTCCGGCTATGCTTGATGAGGCAAATCGTTTCTATGTTGTCAGATGCATAGGCCAAAAGCTTCGTTAGCGGGTAATATTATTGTCGTAATGAAACCGGACTGATTAGAGAGAAGCGTTTGCGTCTTTTAGCGGTCGTAACGCAGACAGAGTGCCTGGGTGTTCATTTATTCCGTATTTTATCGTGTTAAATTTGTAGATAAAATAAGATTCCCGTTGTTCCCGTTCTCTGATTGTTCGAAAGTTGTTTTCTAGTAGTGTAACCCTGATGTCATCAAAGCTGTGGTCTTTTAATGTGCAGTGTTTTGAAAGTGGAAGGCCTGGAAGAGATCGTACATGTGCCCGATGGTTGTTGAATCTAATTCTAAACGGAGTGTCTGTCTGGCCCACGTATTGCTTGTTACATACCCCACATTCCAAGAGGTATATGACATTGTCTGAGTCACAGTCTAGTGCACCTCTTATCCTGTGCTTAAAATCCGAGTGGGTGCTTTTCGCCACTGTCGTTGTCTGCATGTGTTTGCATACCCTGCATCTGCTTTTTCCGCAAGGGTGGCACCCAATTTGAGGTTTAACACCTATCTTTGAATTTATTAAATGATCCTTTATATTTTTCGGCCTTCTGTATACAACACAAGGAGGAGAAGTGAAAATTTTGGATAGTCGCACGCTCTGTTCCAATATGTTAAAGTGTTTTCTTAGGACCTTGTTTATGTTCGGTGGGTTGCTCGTGAAAGTTAATAGCAAGTTTTTGTTGCGGTGTTGGTCGGCGTTTCTCTGGTGGTTGAGAAGAATCTGGTGGTCCAGATTTTCAGCTTTTTTGATGGCGTCATCGATGATAGCTGGTGGGTATTCTTGATTAAGGAGTACTTCGCGCATATGTGTGCTGTTTTTGTGGAAGTCCTCGGTGCGGGAGCAGATTCGTCGAAATCTGTGTGCTTGGGAATAGGGAATGCTGGTCTTGCAATGTCGAGGGTGGCAGCTTTTGAAGTGCAGGTATTGTTGCCTGTCTGTAGGTTTTCTGTATACGTTAGTTACCAACGCACCATCGTCAACTCGAATGAGTACATCAAGAAAGTTTATTTCAGTGTTAGAGTAGGTGTGTGTAAAATAAATGCTGGGGTGTACCTGGTTGAATGCCTGTATGAATTTGAGGAGCTCGTTTTCAAAATGTGTCCAAATTATGAATATATCATCTAGGTACCGTTTATAGAGTAATGGTTTGATATTACAAGATGAAAGAAAATTGGACTCTATGTGGTGCATGAATATGTTGGCGTAGTTTGGGGCCATTCTTGTACCCATTGCCGTACCGCTGATTTGAAGATAGTACTGGTTGTTAAATTCAAAGCTGTTCAAATCGAGTACAAGTCTTGTGAAGATTTCAATTACTTTTTTGCTTGGATAAGCGACAGGGTTGTGTGTGCCATACGATTCAACAAGTGCCCTTACACCATCGTCATGTGGGATATTTGTGTAGAGTGAGCTAACATCCAATGTTACGAGAAATGCACCATCTGGAATTTTCACGTCTGCTATTTCCCGAAGGAAGTGGTTTGTGTCACGCAAGAAGGACTCATGTGTGGGTGGTATGTCTTTGATTAAAGAATCAATATAACTGGAAATGGGTTCCGTTAACGTTCCCGTGCCTGATATAATGGGTCTGCCAGGGTTATTCTCTTTATGAATCTTCGGCAGCATGTAAAACGACCAGGCGCCGAATGTACCGTAATAAGTGCCTTTTTAAGCTTTGAATTAATGGCGCCTTCACGTGTGAGATTCTCTAGGGTTGTTACAATGATTTTTTTGTGCTCCGTGGTAGGGTCAAGTCGAGGTGTTTGTAGAATTGTTTGTTATTTAGTTGTCGCTTGCCTTCCTCGATGTAGTCCGATCTATTCAGAACAACAATCGCGCCTCCTTTGTCTGCTGGTTTGATGACGAGATCTTCGCAGTTGCTCAACGTGAGTAGTGCCTCTTTTTCTCTTTTTGATATGTTATTCATGCTTGGTTTGTGCACTTTGTACGCATGTATAACATCTTTTGAACCGCGTCTATATAGAGATCCAGATGTCGATCTCTGTTGGCGTCTGGGGTCCATTGCCGTCCAATTACCCCACGAAAAAGTGCGTTATCTTTTTCGGGTTTATCACAGAAATATTCCTCCAATCTTAAATTTCGTGCGAAGTTGTCTAGGTCTTTTAGGAGCGTGAATTCATCATACCTTCCGTTGCCAGGGCAGAATGTAAGTCCGCGTGATAGTATACTCAATTCTTCTTTGCTAAGTTCTTTGTCAGAAGGTAATAACGTTTGGCTCTTTGGGGTGTGGTGGCAAATTTTTTTGAACGTGAGATGATTTGGTATTTTTTCTGTAAGCAGCAGTGGGTATAGCTTGTGACACATTGTCCCGCGCAAATTTCTTCTTCTTAAGTTTTTCAATTTCCTCCGTTTTTTTGTGCTCAAATACGTCTAGTTCTTTAGTTTCCCACTCCGAAAGAGAAAAGTTATTTCTTAAATACCGCTCCTCGTCTGTCAGTGCGTTTAGAGTCTTTCTACAGTGTTCGATGGTGACCTTCGTTAGCTCCTGTGTGGCGTGATCGAGAATTTCGTTCCACCGTTTCATTTCCCCTTCGGCAAGTTATGCATCGATGGTGTTAGCGACAAGCGCAGCCCCTTCGGAGCCGTACCCGCCAGTACATATTGCTCAGGCTTTGCACGTGAAGTTCATGCCGTATTCTTTTGTATATATATATATATATATATATATATAGTATATATATATATATATATATATATATATATATATATATATATATTGCGACGAAGTCCTTTACACGCCTTTATTAAGCCTGCAAGATTTGGCCAAAACAGTCACCTCCGAGGCACAGAACCGACTCAAGGGTCCTCCCCACTAACGATGAAGATGAAGGACACTAGATGATGATCAATTTGTACAGGTGATGAAGAAGCGTGCTTTACTTGCCCACAATATATATATATATATATATATATATATTTATATTCATATATATATATGTGTGTGTGTGTGTGTGTGTTTGTGTGCGTGTTTTTGTAAACGCAAGAGAGGAAAAAAAATGCAAAAATCGACTCCGGCGTGCATGATCGAACGTGGGACCTCTGCGACGTAAATGTGAGGCCTTAACCACTGAGCCACCGAGGAGCACGGCACGTAAATCCCGCTCAAACAGCAAGCTTTTTTTAATGCCAGGTTCCTTTCCTCAAGTTTTGTTATCACTCCGTTACCCTACGTTCAGCACAAACCACGCCTGCGATCTTTGAGAAGCTTCGATGGTTTAGTACATCATTTTGTTAAGATTACGCCCAGTTTGAATTATTGATATGTGGGGTTTACCGTCCCGAAACCATTGTTATTATGAGAGACGTCGTAGTGGAGGGCTTTGGAAATTTCGACCACCTGGGGTTCTTTAACGCGCACCCTAATCTGAGCATAAGAAGCCTACAGCCTCTCCGCCTCCATCGGAAATGCAGACGCCACAGCCATGATTCGATCAGGCGACCTGCGTGTGAGCAAGCCCAGTACTACACCCACTTCAGGAACGTCACAGATTATTCGAGAACCTACGTCACCGCTAGCAATAATGGTAAAGGTATGGCAAGGGTATGAATTCCGACACTTTTCGCTGCTTGTCAGTTGATCGACGCCCAACGCTCTTCCCGCAGCTATCAGTGCCAGGGCATCACAGTGTTCTTAATTTTCATTTCTTGACCACAAATTTGGCCCGACTAAACAGTTCATATTGGATCTGTAGCTGACTATCTCTGGCCACGTCACGACTCCGTGACGGTATATACCACTTAACTCGGCTGACAGGACTCGGTGGAAATCGTGTTTGCAGCAATAGCAGCAAGATGAGCGATTACCATGCGTCACCACATTGCGCGGCGGCGCGCTGTAATCTCCCACGCGTGCTTTGCCCCGCTTAAAGGAAAGGGCGACGCTCCCTTACGCGCCCTTGTCTTGCGGGGAAAATCGTGCGTTTTGGCTGGCCTCGGGCTTCACCTGGAACAATTCTGTTGCAGTTACCGGGTGCACAAGGGTCACTGCAATCATTGAAGTCTCCGTTTGCGAAAAGCACACGCTTTTCAGACACAGCGAAGTATCAACTGAGACGCTTATTTGCGTGAATTTGTACCTGTCTGTACGTTTCAAGCATTATTTGCGCGTGAGACACGCGGGGCACGTTTCGATCAGCTTTCTATTCTGCACGCCGCCTCCGATTTGTTGCCTATCGCGTTCATTGCTTCGCTTTTGCGGCAAAGTTGTGACTTTTTTTTCAAAAAAAAAAAGACGGCCAGCATATGCATTTGAAATAAGCAGTGCGTAAGCTATTCTTCACCGATAGAGTACGTATCCTAGGGGCATGCTAAATCAAACAGGTATAATCGCTGTCAACAACACTATGAAAACATTTATTATTTCTCTTTTTAGTGAATGCAGCGATCGAACATGTTTCCAATTAAAATGGAGGCAGTGGTCTTTTCACACAGCTCCCAAGTGAAAAGTTCTGGCATGTCTTCTCTAAAATATGTCACTGTGCAGTTTATTTACCCACACACGCACACACACACATACAATCAAGATATTGAACACTGACAACAAACTGCCTCTCGATTGCCGCAGCAGTCCCATGCGTTCTTACACCTGCGAATGAGTAAAAAAAAGAAAGAAACAGATTAGTGGTCACTCGCTTACTACTGACCGGCGATATAATGCAATGGCTACATGTATATATAACACCTTGCAGCTAATTTTAATGCAAAGCCGGCTGGATAGTCACCTCTTGAAGAAGAGATAAAATTGGTCTCGAACGTATCGCAGTTTTTTTGTTTCAATAATTCGTTTATTTCATTTATTGATGATGTCAGCCCCTTAAAGGCCTATTGCTGGAGTGGAAAGAAATGATATTTAAACAAATATGTGCATTAGAAAAATACAGAAAAAAAAATCTTCGCTACGGAAGCACACATCTTTTCACAGCACGTATCGAAATGCATATAAGAATAATATTATAATTGCATCAGCAAAACAAGAAAGGAAAACGTCACTGTAGAAACACATGCTAATATAGAACTTATGAGAGCTCATATTAAACCACATAGTTCAATTACGAGGCACGTAACTTATGGGCCAATATAATAAATATAGAATAGAAGTGGCTGAAGAGTTTGTGTAATTTTGCCAGCCAGGCAGACCTCTCTGAAATGTGCTTGCCTTGTAAGCAATCACTGGTCATCACATTGGGGTGAAAAAGTGTGTCGATCCTCCCCGTAGTCGCTGCGAGTTCATGAAAACCAAAATTAATCTTTGCCTTTTTATATAACACAGCCCGAACAAGTTACGTTTCCTCCACGTGTAACTGTGCGAAAACGCGACTACATCCACCTTTTAAGTACAAACATGGCCACTTGCTGCAAATATTGAAAAGTTTAATGTTAAAGTATTTAGGTGTGACGGCCATTATAGATAAATACTTTTCCTTATTCAGTCTCCAATGATACACTAGTTATCTGCAAAGGTGCTCTGCGCAATTATGATTGCTTGGCCAGTTGGTATCTATCCATGTTAGTAAACGGCGAAAATCAGACCGCATATAGAACAAGAACATGCAACAAAAAGCACTGACGCTCAAATAAGATTTGTGATCTGAAGAAAACGACATGCACATACGTAAAACTCTCGCAAACAGAAATAGTCACAAGCTTCTTTGCTATGCAACTAGGGCAAAGGCACGGCCTATTCTTCATGTAATTGCAACATACGATAGGCCTTTATCATATAGAGCTATTGACACCTAACTGACGCACGTTTCCGACAGTTTACATATCTGTGCTGCCCCAAGAAGCTGACTTCCACACAGTTCTGTTCACTTGTAATTTACAGTGAAGCCAAAAAGCACAATAACATCTTTATACCACAAATTGTGTGAATACTTTTATTTGGGCGCGCACTGTACTTCCGCAGGCTGTACGTGTATGTGTTTATTTCATAATTCAGAGTTCTTATCGGAAAGTAGGCCGATTTCCTATGTACGTGGAAGTTAGGCAGGGTTAGAAGGCGACGAAGAAAAAGAAGGTTTTAGAAAAAAGATGATGGCTGACACTCCATCCTAGTGCTACTGTGTATCTTCACAAACTGGCGCAGCCACGTATACTTTCTGTGCGGACATTCAAGATGTGGTTGGACTTCACCATTGAAGCAAAACAACGCGGTGGCATCCGGATCTTGACTGCAACGTCCTCAAGATGAAGAACTAGCTCTTCCGGAAGCAGTGAGCACTGACGCATTTGTTTCCTATATAAGCACTAAAATGAAGACCATTTACTTGCTAAATGTACGGTGAGGATCAACATGAAACTTCAGGATTATGAGAATTTCGTGCTACTATAGTAAGAAACAGTGTGAAGCCTGCTACCGCTGCTTCGCCTGACAGTTCCGTCGAGCTGATCAACAAGGTTCTTCAACTGCACCAAGAACAGGATAGACAGCAAAATGATTTATATCACTTGCTTGTAAATGAGACGGAAAGATTAAGCAGGCCGAGTCACGAACACGTCATGCCAGGCATGCTTGATAGAGAGTCTAGTAGTCCAGAGTCCTGGCTCAAGCTTTACGATTATGCATGCAATGTAAATTACTGGCACAGCGAGGAAGATAAAAGGAAAGACATGCAATTGTTCCTATCGGGCATATCCAAGAGGTGGTACGAATGGCGTGTCAACGCTCACAGCAACAAACCATGGATAGAGTGCAAAGTAAGCTTTCTGAGCTCCTTTAGCGAGAACAAAGTGTTGCTATGGGACAAAGCAATCACGTTCAAATACAGGTCTGGATCTGCGCTCAGCTATTTTCACGAGAAAAGCCGCTTGCTACAGCTGGCGGACTCATCTTTGCGTGAGACGTCTGCGGTTCCGCTTATCATCCATGGTTCAAGTCCAGACGTACAGAAGCAAATACAAATGCGTGCACCCAAGACGGTCGAAGAACTCCTGCAGGGAATGCGAAACCTCTACCTTCAGGACCTAGGAACCAAGCGTCAACCCATGACACCTGCTGCAAGAAATACAGGAGACACACGAGCTGAGGAACGACGCCCGCTTGCAAACTGGAGGCCTACTGCAACATCGGTGTCCATTTAGACCGAACAGGGAGACTCAGGACCATAGCCAAGAGCTAGATGACATCACAAAAAAATAAATAGAGTGGTTCCCGGCTTCCCCTCGGTGACATCAAGAGAAGCTGTTTATTTGTCTCAAACAAGTCCATTGTACATATCTGTTTTTGTTTACGGAAAGGAACGGAGTGCGTTAGTTGACAGCGAGGCTAAAGTCATTTTTATAAACGCAAATATGGTTGAAAGGGCGAAAGTAAAACAGGAAAGACCAGTAGAAGTACACGAATACGATGGAAGGCGAGATGTTCACGATAAAGGGACTTGTATAACCCTATCGTGTCTCGGCAACACTGGCACTGCACAAGCACTGGTACTCGACAGAGTGCCGTATGAATTACTGCTTTCACGTCCAGACATCAGTGTATTTCACCGTAATATCTACTGAACAGGAGAAATTACTGCAGAAGAAAAGTGCCGCACTATTAACACCACAGTTTCGCCTTCAAGAACTCTGTGGAAGCCATCGACCGGTGAAGATGTGAGGGCGTTTTATTTAGAATTGCTGTGCTAGAACGGATAGCCTACGGCAACTACAAAGTTTGAGGTACCATTCCAGCTCAGTCATACCACGGTGGTGAGAAAAAAGCCCTATATTATGTCACAAGAGAACAGAGTGTGGCTTCAAAACGAGATTCAAAAAATGTTCAATGCGCAGATCATCCGTCCATCCACGTCTACGTTGACTTCACCCATCGTCATTGCACCACAGGAGGATAAACGTCTTCGACTCTGCACGGACTGCAGACAAATTAATAAGCAGACTGAGCTTTTTTCGTTTTTTATGCCACGTATAGACTCTATCACAGAAGACTCGAGTGACTGCAAAATTTTCTGGTGCATTGACCAATGTAACAAATTTTGGCGAGTCCCAATTTCTGAAAATTGCAAGAAAATTTCTGCCTTCGTCACGCCCTTTGACATCTGTGAGTATAACCAACTCCCATTTGGATGAAAGAACTAACCCGCTTGGTTCCAGAAAATGACGAACGACGTCTTGCAACCGTTTCTCGGAAAGTTTCGCACCAGTGCACATAGACGATATATTAGTATGCTCCCGCAACTACCAAGAGAACTCAAACCATATGGCTAATGTATTTCAAGCACTTCGTGATGCCGAGCTCAAAAGTAATGACAAGAATAGTGAGTTTTTCCAAAGTAAAGTGGTGTTTCTTGGAAGAGTATTGGACGGCCAATCCGAAACAACAAAACAGGAATAGGTCGAACGAACCGCAAAAATGCAGAAGTCATTAGAATTCGACTCTTTGCTGGTATTTCTGGATTTGGCAGGAAATTTCGAGCCATTCACTATAGATTATGTGACGAAAACCAAATGCCTCGCAAAAATGACTAAGAAGAATGTGCCACTTCAGTGGACAGCAGAGTGTGAATCTATCACAGCCTTGTGACCATTACTTCGTCGCATTCGGTCCTGACTCAACCAGACTTCCAGTTGCTCTTTGAACTGAACACCGATGCTTCTTATTACGGCACAGGCGCCGTGCTTCACCAAAGAGATACCGGCTCTCCATGGAGCCGCCGACAAAAGGTCATCAGTTACTGTTCGTACACCTTTTGAAAAAAGCAATGACACGACTACAGAGAAGAAAGCCTTGGCAGTCTTAGTGGCCATACGCTATTTTATACCTTACTGGATGGCAGAAGCTTCACGCTCTTTACGGATCACTAAGCCTTAACGTATATCCGTAACCTCGCCGAACCTCGAGGAAAAATTGCTAGGTGCGTGAGCAAACTCCAGCAGTTTACTTTCGTGATCCACCACAGGTCTGGAGAACACCTTAAGGACGCAAATGCGCTTTCAGGACTTGCGGTAACTCCTGATCAGAAAAATGTCAACTCAACGTGGTCGTGGGAGGGAACTGTAGAACTTAATTTCCACAATGGAAGTTTATAAAGCCAGAAACAATGGTGCCTTGAATGTTAGAACTCTATCACAACTCCCCACACTCAGGTGAACATGACGGCTTTTGGAGGACATATCACTAGATTCATGAGCGTTTCCAGTGAAAACACAAGAAAGAAGACGTTCAACGGTATGCTCACTCTTGTCATCAATGTCAACTTCACAAAGCCAAGTACCTTCAGAGAACGGACGGGATGATTTTGCCTCAACACTCCGAAGTACCATTTGAAGTCTTCATCTGGATTTCGCAGAGCTCAAGAAGGAGGCTGCAGGAGTACGAAAACACAATCTTTCCTAGTGGTAATAGACCAGTACTCAAGAATAGTGGCTGCACGGCCGGGAAGGGAAAACGCAAATTGTGTGATCGCTCTTTTGAGTCGAGAGATGTTAGAAAATACGGAAATAGTAATATCAGATAGTATACCAGCGTTTTTTAGTCAGCGTTTGCGACATTGGGCGAAAGAACGAGGAGTTGTATTGTGACGCTACGCTCCGTACCATCCTGCAGAAAATTGCATGGCTCAAAAAATCATTCGGCATTCGATGCAGTTCACTTCGATGTACCCAGGTTTTCAGGGCGGATGGAAGTGCTGCTTGGAGGCAGCTGTTGCTCATCACAATCAGTCGCACCCTCGAACATCGGTTGTAGCCCATACTTTGCAGCTTTAGGAAAGGAACCCTGGCTTCCTGCTGATCAAGAACTTTGCATTGCAGACCGCCTGCAATTGCGCAAAAAACGAAACACTTCGGAAGCCTACCAGCGATACGAAAAAATGTGAAGAGAAGCTTTGACTACCGCTACAACACGCGTATACCTCAGATACAACTGAACGATCTGGCGCTCGTCAAAAAAGGCCTTCCAGGCACAAATCAGGTACACATGGGACCTTATCGCGTAATGAAGATTGTAGTGCAACAGGGCGTTCTCAGAAGGATTGGTTACACCAACAATGGCGGTGTACTGGAGTTAGCGACCAGTGGAAACGTCTATGTGTGTCACCACAGGAGGAATGAGTCTTCAAAGAGGGGGAGTGTACGTTGATGTTAGGCAGGGTTGGAGGGAGACGATGAGTAAAAAGTTTTTAAAACAAAGAAGATGGCTGACATTCTAGCCTAATGCAACTGCGTATCATTACATCTTACTCTGCATACGTCTCGTTTTCAACGCTGCATTCTCCTTAGTTAGCTTTCATATTTGTGGATGACCAACCTTTTGCTTCTTCGAACACCCAATGTATACAATGAATAAAGCTGTTAGTGTGTGTATGTGTGTGTGTGTGTGTGTGTGTGTGTGTGTGTGTGAGAGAGAGAGAGAGAGAGAGAGAGATATTCCGCTCATATGGAAACCCAAGATAGTGTCAGTATTGAATGAGAGGTCTGTTTTCAAGAAGTCAAGCGTCTGTGCGTATTCTAGTTCAATTCCTACAGCTATTTCTGAACACGAAGAATGACCGAGTACATTCTCAGGAATGTCACAAGTAATTTCAAGAAGCAGCCCCGCCGTGGTGGTCTAGTGGCTAAGGTACTCGGCTGCTGATCCGCAGGTCGCGCGTTCGAATCCCGGCTGCGGCAGCTGCATTTCCGATGGAGGCGGAAATATTGTAGGCCCGTGTGCTCAGATTTGGTTGCACGTTAAAGAACCGCAGGTGGTCGAAATTTCCGGAGCCCTTCACTACGGCGTCTCTCATAATCAATTGCTGGTTTTGGGACGTTCAACTCCACATATCAATCAATCAATCACTTTCAAGAAGCATTCCAGACACTTAGAAGATGTTGCACCTTGCGCGTAAGGGAGAAAAAAATTATAATAAATTTTATTTCAAAAGAGTACGCGATAACAGTACAAGTTGATTGCGAAAATTAGCATGTAGACCTCGATTCATCGTTATTTCTCTAACAAAGTTAGGTAGGCAATTGTAGTATCAAAATCGCGTTGACGGAGCGTAGTTCTTGATATTTCATTTAGTGATCTGGTCACTCTAACTGGGTGTCAATGCAGACTTACCTCTTTCTAGAATGCCGTTGTGACGTCGTGGTCTGGTCGCTTGCGCCGTCGCGAACGTTTATACCTCCATGGGTTGATGCCAATAGGCCTCTGCGATGCAGCGGATCTCAAACAGCCTCCAGCGTCACTGCTGTGATAAAGGAACATATTTATCATAAATCTAAATATATGACTTTTCATCAGCATGCGATGTTTTCCTAACAATTCATGCCAGCTCTACTTCGTGAAAGCCAGATAAACAGCGACGCTGGTATCCCTCGTCTTCGGGCTATAGTCTTTCTCTTTTCTACGAAAGGCCACTTCTTTCCAAACTAATACAAGCTCCGTTAGCCAATATAACAGGGAACTCCTGAAGGAGATATCTCCTCGTTTATTCTCCACCGAACCCCACACTCTTCTATTTCTGGGAAACAGTTGGCTTCTGGCTTGCTTTTCATCATGCCTTCTCGGGGAGTTTCTTATTTGCTCTGCTCCAACTAGTAAGCTTTAGTTTAACCCCTATCTGCGCTGCCTTCATCATTGTCTCCTTCTCTCTCTTGGCATGGCACAGCACCTTCCGGTTCCCACCAATCATGACCGATGCTAAGCCTCAGGATCACGTCATCAGCGTTACACCACTTGCGAAAGGCCGACTAAGAACAGCTTCTCTGCTGAAGAAAACTCGCTCGGTTTCTCACGCAAGCGCAGAAGACAAGTCGAAAGCAGAAATCATTTTCGTCCTTAGTAGATTGCATCAATTACATCAAAGTCGCCTGCATCAATTACATCAAAGCCGCCAACGACTTTTAGCTCTCCTGGTTGTATCGATAATGGTATCTATACTAAACTTGGTATGCTATAACTTAACTTTATGACGAACTTAACTGACTAGCCATATCATGAAATTCATTACATGTATGTTATTAATGTCATCATTTACATGTCATGGTCTTGCTGCTCTTGCGGTGGTTTCATTCACATGATATGTCACCAAACTGGTATGTTATGACATTCTGCTTGGCGAACACAAGTGACAGACCCTAACATCAAAATCATGACATGCGTGTCATGTAAAAACATGACTACATGCTACACTTATTATGGGCTCGCAGCCGTTTCGCTAGCATTGCATATATCAAATTTGGTATTACGGGACGTGTATGGATGCCAAAGGTATGCGACTGGTGCAAACATGATAATCATGAGTTGCGTGTCATGTAAAAACATGACTACATGCTATGCTCATGATTCGCTCGAGGCCGTTTCGCTAGCCTCACATGTACTATATTCGGTATTACGTGACTCGAACGGACGACATCGGTAAATAACACGTCTAAACATTATGATTATGACATGCGTGTCGTGTAACATGACTAAGTTTCACACTCATGATGTGCTCCCGGCCATCTCGCTACCATCACATATGCCAAAATTTGGTATTATGTCCCGTGAATGAATGACGAAGGTGTGGCTGGTGTAAACATGATAATCATGAGATGCGTGTCATGTAAGAACAATAATACACGCCACACTCAAGGTGCCAATACATTTCGACGTGAGCTGGCACGCGTGCACGCCGGCATTCATTTTATTGCGTCACGCCGGCGATGCCACGCCAGGCGCCGATATCCCCCTAGTAGGGATTAGTGGGTCTGCCCACTGACCTTCATTGGGGTTGTGCATGCTATACACTCGCAGGTGCGCGCCGCGCTGCGTTGCTGTGACGCGTGCGCGTTTGAGCGCACACGGCATTCCTCTGTCACCTAGAGAGGCAGACGCGGTGCTGTCAAAGAAACGCCGTCGGCGCGAAAGGCTGCATCTCGCAATTTGCGCCGGTTGCCACCGAACCGCGCCGACGGACGCTCGCTGCACCGGTCACACCTGACGTCACACTTTAGAGTGCTCGCGTTTTGCTAGCGTGGTGTCGCTTCTCCCAGCATGTGACGGACGCTGGCTGCACCGATCACGCCTGACGTCACACTAAAGAGTGCTCGTGTTTTGCTAGCGTGGTGTCTCTTCACCCAGCCTGCGCGTGCGTCAACGTTGCGTCGGAGTGCATTGGGCTGTTCATGACGCGGTCGTCGCTGTTTCGCTCGCTCCACATGTACCAAATTTGATATCACAGGACGTGAATAGATGACGAAAATAAATGACACGTCCAAACCGGATAATGTTATATGCGTTTCATGTAAAACATGACTACATGCTACATAGATGATGAAGGGGAACGACACGTCCAAACGTGATAATCATGACACGGAAGTCGTGTACGTCATTAATTACCTCCACCTCGTAACGTGGAGATTTTAAAGGAACCTATCACCCTTCCCCATTCGTGCTTCGCATATAATCGATGCTAACTGTACGTGGGATCTGCGAATTTCGTATGCACTGTTGCAGCAGAACTGCCACGGCGAAGTTTGCTAAGTTGTGCTCTTGCTTGTCTGAGACACAGGTTTGTTGCACATGTCAGAAAATACAAATGCGCAGAAGGTATAGAAGTCATGTATTTTGTATTCGAGATTAACAAGCTTGTTTGAACATGCGAGTTTGAGTTTTGAAGGAGCACGTCAGACCAAAATTTTCGCGACATGTCGTAGTTACCTAAAGCAATGTCGCGTACCGGTCACTATTCTGAAGAAAAAAAAAAACATGGCATCCCACTTTGAGTCCATGAGCACTGTACAAATGTCCTACTGAAATTGGCAAATTATTATGTGGATGAGCTGCTACAATGGTTATATGAGCTATTTGCTAGAAAGAATTGACATTTTTTTTGAAGAAGGAAGTGTGGTACTTAGTGCTCATGATGTCTTCATGTTCTCTCTCTGCAAAAGCGTGCGGATATTTTGCTCTGGAAAAATGATAGCAAGTACTTGGATGATATGTTCCTGCCGTGGTTATCGTTTCAGGTTTTGTTTTTTTTTCTTCTATTTACATTAACCTTTGAAATCTGGGAACAGCTGCAATTCTCTTTCGATTTGGCCCGCTTCCTCCTATTAGGGTAAACGCAAAAGAATACATGCGCCTAGGTAGAAAATTCTCAAAAGGATCTCAATGACGTCAGACGAATGTTCTATAGGTAATAACTAGTAATCAATCCAGCTGCACTATAAAAGAATCTTCCATGCATCAGGAGACGCAATAAAACGCTGCTTGTTCGTTTCTGTTTCGTATTTAAAAAACGTATGCCAGGCCTGCGCGGAAGGCGCAGCACAGTCAAAGCGTAAGCTAGAAGAGCGGCCTTTCAGAGCCTTTTCTGAACACTCATTGGGTAACTGCTGCAAGTACACTTGCTTGATGCCCACTACAGCATTATTAATAAAAACTTTAAAGTAGTAGGCCGGCATTCGCTGTGTCAATTTTGTCATTCTTCTGAGAAGCGTAGTATCCGCTAATCAATTGCAAGGAATTTTGCGCCAATTGTTCCTGCAGTGGCTGACAACGATGAATTATTAACCTTAAGTGGCTAAGCACCTCAGTTTTTAGGTGGTCAAGAACAAGCTTTTGTAACGGGTTGGAGCATTGGATGACCCACTAGTTACGCAATTCGCATTGTATTACGCCTGGTTGTTCCTTTGCTGTTCTAAAACGCGTTATTACTCATAATAACGCTATTGATTTCCCTGAATCAAGCCTGCCTGCGGCAAGTTTGCAGGCGAGTTCCAAGCACCTGCGTAGCTGAGTGGTAGAAATCGGCTCACATGCAATGGACCCGGGTTTGAATCCCACTGTGTTCTTAGTGTATTTGCGATAATGGTTACGTACACCAGCGTTGGTGGCGGACACCTATGGCGCCGCACGAGACTCACGTTGTAATATCATAACAGCTTTCGCTGTAAAACTTAACACGGCTTACTTGTAAGTTTATTTCTGTGCGAGTTATATTCACATGCTCGACAAATCGGCGCAACTGTAGAGTTTTAAGGAGGCGAAGCTCTTTATAGCGTGCGTCATGCGTCTGCGTTGTATGTAGTAGTAGTAGTAAACCGCAACCTCTTGTTTACTTTAGGTTACGGACAATGGCGGCGGCGGCGGACAACTACGACATGGCACGGGACCTGAGTTGTGATCTTATAACAGCTATCGCTGTAAACATAACACGGCTCGTGAGTATGTTTATTCGTGTGCGAGAAATATTCTCACGCTCGACAATTCAGCGCAAAAGGAGAGCTTTTAGGGGGCGAAGTTTTTTATGGCGGGGTTCGTGCGTCGGCGTTGTATGTACTACTACTACTACTAGTAGTACTACTACTAGTAGTACTAGTAGTAGTAGTAGTAGTAGTAGTAGTAGTAGTAGTAGCACGTAGTAAGCTCTTGTTTACTTTAGGTTACGGACATTGGCGGTGGCAGTCAACAATACGGCACTGCGCGGGACCTGAGTTGTGTTCTCATAACAGCTTTCGGTGTAAAATAACCACCGGACATTACTGAGGTGAGTGGCGCGAGTGGTTAGAAAACTCAATTTTTCTGTGGTTAAACTTAAGGTCCCTAGATGAAACAAGGTAGCGTCACTCTTTGTTCTCGAGCCGTCCTCCTCACTCTCTCAATTACTCCTCTTTTTCTCTGCCATCCACGTCTGTAATTGGTGCATTACTTGCACGTGATCTTGCTAATGGCTGGTGGTGTTATTTATTATTATGCAAAAGGTTCAAAACGAGTACGCATGCGCATATGGCTCCAGCCGGATTCTCGCCGTGACCAAAGACAAAATCGTAGCCAGAACATAAACTGAAGAGGAGGAGCGTTTCGGTGTGCGCTAAGTCGACCAAGATTGTTTCACCATGCTCGTTCAATGCAACATCTGCGTTTTTCAGCAATGCTGCGTTGCCGTAAACAACAGAAAATGGTTTCGCTCTCTTCAACTTACCTCGTGCTTTCCGAGATGAAGCACACCATGAAGTGCAACGAAGAACAATTTCACGCGAATGCTTTCGTGAAACTCCGTCAACGTATGACGACGCGGATCTGCGAAGCGAGTTCACTTGTCGGTATTTATTGAAACGCCAGGCGCGCGTCTAATGCATGTCTAGTGCATGCCTGTTGGTACAAATACATGTGGGTATGCACGTATACAGAGCAGCTGTAGGTTGTAATCAACGCACCTTCAGAAACATTTAGCTCTTGACCAGTTCCCGCTTGAGCCGAAAC